CTCAAAGCACGGGTGTCATGTGTAGCCTCAGCCGATGATACAGCAATACTCGGTGTCCAATCGTTTGCTTCCGCCAGCAACAAGTAGGGTAGACGTTGGCTACTAAAGTGCAAACTTACATGACTCGACTGTAAGTGACCATGCTTGTTAGTGTATAGTTTGAGAAGGTGGGTAAAAATACAAACACCTGTTCTGAATCTTCCAAGACTGCGGGCGTTCAAACCCTAAACAAATGCCAACGGAACTCGGCAATCACACACCCCAGCCAATTTTATTCCCACTGACATGCGGGACATGGTGGGCGACATCAAGTTCCGGATGTGCCTATCACTGTGGCCTCCAAAGGGCAAGTACAAGACGCCTGCGCCTACAGAGGGACCATGGGTGGATTGCGCTGCATCACCCACAGCTCCAACCACACACCCCATATCCGGTGTAAACCCGAAGGAATAAGACCGGGAGGCATGTGGATGGGAGCCACGTTTCATCAACGGAGCCGGCCCACACTCCTTCACAGGCAAACACAAGCAAATTGTATTTGGGGAATCAAGCACACAAAAGGCGGTGGCTGGACCGTAGTGCGCTCCACACTGAGTGCATGGAAACACTCTTCAAGACTAGCAAGGTCATGAGGATCGTGCACCCCGTCCCCTCCAGTCACGATCAACTGTCTCCTGGAGGCAGTATGGACGAGGTAGACAGGTAGGCACCTTGTCAAGATGCATATCAAGCGCAGTCACACCGGGGATATCAAACAACAGCCAATCACTTGAAATGAAAAGAACAGATAATATGTATCAAATAAAGCATACAAAAATGCTGACATAAACCTACGCTAAATGAGCATATGTAATAAATTGGTTAGCAACAACCAGCGAGAAGTGCAACATGATGGAAAATGTATTGTGAAAATGCCACAAACGCGAAAATGTTAGCGAAGTTTACAACAATTAGTTTAAGCAACAAGTGCAAGTTCAGGTAAACGTTAAAATAAGGTAAAGAAGAGTATGCATTGAGACACGATAGGAAACCCACCATCAGAAATAACTAGCCTCAACATGCAAGCACGCGGTTAGCAAATCCAATGCAGTGTATCTACCAAAGCTTCGCCGCATCTGCAGCACACGTCGTCGTTTTGATGCTGGTCCCGAGTGGCCACGCCCGTGGCTAACTAGACCTGCCTGACTCAGACACTCGCGATCGCATGTGCTACAGTACCATGCGGTCGTTGTCGATGGAGTACACCCCATCGGCGACGGTCGCTTCCGCAACTAACGCTTCTTCCATGCATGCACGAGAGCTCTCTCGCACCTCGGTAACTGCTTACATGATCAGCTCGCGCCATTCACGCCGGTCAACCGCCGTTCGATCCCCGTGACATGCCATCAAGATTAGAACGTGATAGGCTCACATTGATCATTTAATAGTAACGAAGCTTCGGTTTCCCCACATGCCGCTTCCCAACACTCAGCTGACCAGATAATAGCTGCTTCGGTATCCGCGTCGAATCCATACGCCACACATGACCGAGCCACTTCAAGTGTCTCAGCAAAAGTATGCAGTCCATTGCATACATTCCACTTCGGCGCAACACTTCCGTGTCTGCAACTCTGTCGCACCAACCGATGCGCAGAATTAGTCGTAGACACTGTAGATGGAACCGCTTGCACATCCCACCGGTACATCGTCCACGTGTCACTGCCGTATAGCAGAACGGAAGGCACCATGGATTTGTACACCATCAGCTTTATGCTAAAGTTAAGCTGATAACTGTTCCACCCTCGGTACTCAAGCTTCCTGATTTCCGCTGCTGTATTCCATACTCGGAAACGCAGCTCACTGTGAGCTTACTGGTCAGTCGAAACCACACTCCCGAGGTAGCAGAAGCGGGAGGTGGTTTCCAATACCTCAGCACCAATGCTGATTCGCGGCAACATTGCAGATTGCACCACCGGTGAATGCTGAAAGAGACAGACAGTTTTGCTTGCGTTGATGGTGGGTCCGAATTTGGCCGCTGTCGAAGCCATAGCAGTAGCCATGTGCTGCAACTCATTCGCGCTGTATGCAAGCAACGCACAGTCGCCAGCAATAGCAACATACGGATAGTTGTCACACAGACTGGAATTCCCAGATGTCCAGCAACACACCAACAATACGGTGCTCTACACGCACACCGTAAGCATAAGCCGCATCAAAAGTACAAGACATCATTGCATGAAGAAATATACTAAACAGGGCAGGAGCTAAGACACAGCCTTGCTTCACACCAGAGACAATTGTAGTCATCCGAGGTCTCTGCACTCAGCCTCACCTTCGCCCGTATACCACTGTGCAGACATGCAATTAAACTTACAAACTTACGCGAACAATCAAACTTGCACAACACTAGCCACAATGCCTCGCGGTTCACCGTATCAAATGCTTTGATGAAATCAACAAACAACGAGTAAAACGGCTGATGTCGTTCTCTGCACTTCTCCTGCAAGTGACGAGCCGCAAACACCATACCGACGACGCTGCGACCCGAACGGAATCCACATTGCTCTTCCGCCACGTTAGATTCCACAACCTGAGTTACGAGACGGAGCTCACAGGTCAATTGCCGTTGCATTTTGCGAAAATGCTTCTTTTTCCACAATTCACTGGGGTCTGACACATGGGCAACAAATGCTGCAGTCTTCTCAGACTCCAATGCGCCAATCGCCGCATCGTTCTCATCAAACCAATCGAGCGGCTTACAGTTTGCGCACCAGATAGTGTCCTCGACAACAGCTGTCAGCTGGTCGCGAATGTGGTGCCACATGTCGCCCCACTGTGGCTATACATGCCACATCACATAGTCGTGCAGCCATCACCTTTTACAGTTAACTACGCTTCTCCACAATACCGGGAGAGCGAAGGTTAAATTGACGCCGGTTCATGACAGGAATGCAATACATAGATTTACGAAATGATATGTACAGTTTGGTCCACACCAATTTGTGATCAGTGCCACACTCAGCTTCAAGCAGTACACATGTCACGCGCACTTCATGAATGTCACGCTGACATACAATGACATGGTCGAGCAGGTGAGTGTGACCACTCGGTGGGTGCATCCAAGCGGCTATATCACTCGCACTCAGTGCAAACCGAGTGTTCGTGATCGTCAGGCCGTGAGTGACACACAGTGAGAGCAGCCTGTCACCGTTCGCATTCGCTAAACCGATGCCATGCGGACCGATAACATCCGTCCACACTGATGCATCACGCCCAACGCGCGCGTTGAAATCACCCGGTAGACATAGTCGGTCGCTCCTCGGCACAGACCGTATCAGGCAGGATAGCTGTGTAGAATTGAGCATGCATATCATCAAGCTAACACATGGTCAGACCGTACGTGCTTATAAAAGTGGCAAATTTACCACTTTCGAGTCTTAGGGGAACAGTCTTTAGTCGCGCGCTCATGTCTGTCGATTCACTCATCAGCTCGACATTTAGACGATTGAATATTGCAAACCTGACCGTATATTCACGTGGTGCTGTGACGTAGTCCACCCAGTAGAATGTGTAGCCAGCACATACTTCATGCAGCTAACACGCTCGGCGCGCCGAGTCTCACTGAGCGCCGCAATATCGATGTGGTAGCGCGCCAGTTCCATCGCGACCAGTGCAGTGCGTCGCTCAGGGCGCTCACTCGAGTTCCGGTCCAGTAGTGTGTTCATGTTCAGGCACCTGATGTTGAGTGTTTTGCGCAGACATACCATTGCATTGGTGGGCAATCTCACGCGTGGTGGTCACTGTTTCGGAGGTGTGTTTAAGGGACTCCAGTCGGAGCTTTTGGCTCAATAGCCTGACCCACAACGCAGTGGCTGATTTGGAGGTTTGCTTGAAGGACTGTGCCCGGAGCCTTTGACTCAACAGCTTGATACACAAGGCAGTGGGTGATTTGGAGGTTTGCTTGAAGGAACCCACCAGGGGCCTATGACTTAATAGCTTTACCGACAAAGCAGTGAGGAGTAGATCAAATTCGGGATTGGGATCTGGTTAAAGTCTGCCACACACAGCCTTTGGAGTTCTGGAACAGTTAATTTGTGTTTTGCGACCGTAGTAAGATAAGCACCTGCGATGACGGCCATACGCAGGAGGGTTTTGGCGGGTTTACACCAATTTGATCAGGCGCTGTCTAGCTTGAGGCGGGCATTAGTAAACGATTGAACACCCGGAGCTGCTCTCCCACCATCAGATGCAATGCGTGGTGTTCGTGCTCTACGCCAATCGAGCGGTGAGCTTACAACCCCTGGACCTGTTGTTTCCAATGGCTTGGTTTTACGGGAAGTGAGGCATGGACTACCTGCTAACCTCCGAAGAGGATGGGGTTTGGACTAAGATACTGGCAGGGCGCCCACACCTAACAGAACAACAGCTCGGATCCTCAGCCAACGCCTTCGATTAAATGTACAGCCGAAAGGCAGCAGGTCTAGCACATGGTCAGTTCACTGACTCATGCGGATTGGTGTCCTGGATCTTAGCTAGGAGAAGGGCATAACCCAACTCCCACCCAGCGGTCGCCACGAGGAGGCGTCCAGGACATGAGCCCATGGCACAACAGTAGCAGTAATGGGTAGACCATCTGTCAGGATCTAGCGACCACTAGCCTCAGCGCACCATAGGCTCTCCAAGCATTTGCGGGACATACCGTAGCGTTAGTCGCTCAGAGTTAAGACTCTCGAAGGACAACAATAACAACCCATTTAGCATACTGCTTCACGGATCAGAGTGCTTAGTCAGAGGTTAGAAATGGGTATCCATAAACAAACCCTGCCCTCGGAATGTGGAACCGAGGGTATCATTTGTCCACGAAAATGCATTGCCGGTAACAGGAAAAAGAGAAAAATAGCATCTGAAATCGAAACATACCAAATTAACGATCATGTTTCACCAAGCCTGAAGCTGAACACTCTAGGAAAGACGGCTAGGGGCTGCTAGTACTTAAGTGAGACAAAGATTGAATTACATACCATTCAGATGGCCTTCGCAACGCGCGTTGTTCATGGGGCGCTCTGTAGGACGAATGCACAAGCGATTTTCTTCAAAAGGAGTGGAAGAGGACTGCAGAGGAAAGAGAACAAAACACTTGAGTGCTATTAAGTAAAAAGTGAAAAATGACTTCGTAAGTGTTTGTATCAAATGGAGGGAGTAAGTGAAATAGGGTAAACAAAGACCTATTAGATAAACAAGTAGAAAACTTAAGCTGCATTGCGGGCCTTCGCCATAAAATTAAAATAGAAGGCTCTTTATCTCCCTCTTAAAGGAAGTGCCGATTTCAGCATTCTCGACCCAACAGATGATAAGCAAGCGAAGGCCATCGATTAGTGCATATATCCTAACAAAGTGAGTGACTATCGGGATTAGTTTGCACATTGCGGAAGCTAAAGCTGCCTTTCGGTGGTTTTAAGCAGCGTATACACAGGACCAAGTCGAGAGCCTCTCTCATCTACCGTACGTTCTCTTGATCTAACCTGAGAATTCGGTCGTCCAGGGGAGGTCTCGCTTCTGAGGAATCAAACTAGGTCGACTCATTCACGAGACCGTTCGGACGAAAAAGTTAAGGTATGAGGGAAACAGGGTAGGCTTAGTAAGCTGGTCACGAACTCCTAACTCACGGGAGAGTTCTTCATAGAGCATCATACGGCCGGAAACGATGTCAATGAAAGAAAATACAGTTTACAAAGTCACATTTCGGTAGGCGTTTCAGTGACAAGTAATGTCACAAACTGGTGCGACCAGTTGAAACAAAGGCACGTAGTAAGTCAAGGTGGACCGACAACCAAAACAACGAAGGGACACGCATGCACAAGCGCTGTTGCATCAGCTTGAGTTCCGTTCTAACAACGAAAGCTGCAGGACTCCCAAGGAAAACAGACGAATGGGAGTACACCAGCTTTAATCGCTCTACAGGAGAAAACTCCATAAAAAATTCACATGAATGGAGGGTTTCGGTGTAATCCGCCCCCATCACTGCATCCTATGACGCGTTTTGTCCTTGTTTGGACCCATCAGGTAGAGAAACCATGAGCTAGGTGTGGAACTCGGCACCTAGTGGTTGTCATCAATCCTATGGACAGCTAGACCATTGAGCAACGCCAGTAGCGTTCAGAACCTTAAAATTCACTTGACTTTTGAGCCCGTAGCAGTAAAGTAGACGAAAATTCGTTACGATGTTGCAAATATGCACGACACACGCCACACACCAACTACATTAGGCGTAATAATGGGTAAGTATCAGTAAATGTTTGTCTCTTTCACGTTGGTCATACACATTAAAGGGTAGGGTGCGAGGTGAGCTCCCTGGAAACCACCGCTATTCGGCTGTACCGACGAACGCCGTGGATTTTTGAACCCCCATGTGTTGGATACTACTTTTGCTTCGGAGTGCTGTGTTATAAGCTTTTCCGTGTGAATTGTGCACCAATATTCTTCTTTTGGTGTATTTTAAAATCGGTGCATTGAATCGGTGAATTGAAATGCTTTGGCTAATTCCGGAGATCTCGTAGATCTGCGTCCGCCATTTTGGATTTGCTCTACCTTGTGATCCCGTTCCAAGCTACTTGCGGTTCCTGTATGAAAGTTGTTGGACATAAGGCCCATGTACTTCGGTGCTTCGGCTGTGATGTCTTGTTCCATTTTTCGTACATTGGCTTATCCGTTGACGTGTTTCGAAAGTCTCTCGATATCCGACATCGGTTTTTCCAACTTATATGTGATAGATATCGCGGTGCAAGACATCAGAATATACAGCGACCGCCAACAACTAAGTGAAAAGCTCTCTTACAGACAGAAACAAACCATACACTAGGTAAAGTCAAACGTCATCGTGAAAGCACCTCAGTCACCTCGCTTTCCCTTGTCACTCCGCTATCTGCACCAGCGTCTTCGACACCGACCAAACCTCAACTTCAATGTTCCCACAGACTGAAGACACAGACTCGGAACCTACGAAATACCGCTTCACTGATCAGCCCCTAAATTCCTCAGAGCCTGTTTGTGAACCTCTGAACACCAAGGATCCATGGAGCACTCCAAAGCGCAAGGGGCCACGTAATCGAGTTCAGGCGTCCCCTGTTAATAAATAACAACCCAAAGCGGTAAGCGCCTGTAGTCCTGCTCCCACAATTTCACCACCGATTTCGCTGAGGCGTCACAATCTCATTGTCATTTACGTAGCACAGTCAAAAAATGCAAACACTCAGATACGTTATGATCACGATGTTGTTCCTCCAGGAACTCATCGATAGACTCCTGGATGTGTGTAAGGACAGTGTGACGATTAAACAAGTAATCCGACTTAGCTAGAAAACTAACCAGTCATGTCGACGTCTGAGAATCACCTTTGCAAATCACACTATGCCGCAGCTCATACTGTCTCGCCTGTCAAGGCTGAAAGCCATAAAGGATCACATCCGCCGAGGCTTGGAACCTGATAACAGGGATCGTTTGAAAACTGCGGCCATTGAGCTCAAACGCCGTACCAAAGAAGGTGAGACTGACCTACAATTGGTAAATTCTCAAGTGATCAAGAAGAGTGTATGCACCCGTAGCAACCGGTTGCTCAACCTTCAGGCACGTCCCGTGGTACCTCCCAGGACCTCCATGTGGCATTCGTCAACGTGTGCAGCTTAATGAACAAACGTGACGAACTGTGCCGCTTTGCTGTCTCGGAGTGGCCGGATGTTTCAGGACTTGCAGAGATTTGGCTGAACTCAGACGTCATACCCCAAGAAGTCGTGTTGTCAGGCTACTCTTGTTTCCGATGCGACCGAGAATCAAAGGCTCACGGTGGTGTTCTGTTGTACAAAAAATAGGCACTACCTGGCAAACTTACCAGCACCTATCGGGGCGAGGATAACTTATGCGAGTAATTGTGGTGCACAATCCGCCTCCAACGCGCAGAACTGATAGTGGGTGTTATCTACCGTAGCACAGTAAACCGTTGTTGTAATTAGCTATCACATATACAGAAGCACATGAGACGCCCTCATTTCTTACTGATGAGGGATCTAAATTTACCTAAGCTATTCTGGCCAGACGTTCGGCTTCTTCCCGCTCATGGCGAAGTTGAGGCGCAAATTCGCTAAAATTATTGAAATCGGGGCATCGCAACATGTAAACCAACTGACGAGCATAACTCCGCACTCGGCATCTTGTCTGGACCTAATGTCTATGAGCAGAAGCTGAAAGAGATCAGTGTCCTCGAACCTCGGAAAAACAGTGATCACTGCTCTATTGTGGCAAGTATAGAACTGCCGTTACCGCATTACACTTAACGGAAGCCGACATTCAACTATTGGAAGACGGACTTAAACGGGCTCGTCCAAACCGCAAGACAGACTGATTGGACACTACCACAGGCACAATAGCGGAGGTGTTTTCCCACCTCTAGCTGATGTGTATAATGATGATGGTGACCACAGGATGCGCCGCTTGAAGCCTGTTGAACATTAATGAAGGAGAAGCATAACTCGCTGTGTACTCGGTTCGTTCCCCTGAAGTATTCAAAAGTCGGACCTGTCAAACCTCATGGGTTTGGTATGGAATAAAAACAGTTAGCGCGACGGCGTCGCAAAGTTTGAGATAGATATATCATCTCGGGTTGTGATGAAGATTATTCCGTGCACAAGAAACAGCGTACGTATGTAACGCTGCAAAGCTCAAGAAACGCCGGTAGTTCGAAGAGCCAGCAGCCTCAGCCACAACTGCACCCAAAAGAATATTTGCCTACTTGAAACCTCAACTGGAACCTGGGGGCGACCTACCGGTATTAGAGAGCTTGGACGGACAGACGCTCATTTTAATCGCGGAGCGCGCGGACGTCTTGGCTACGCACTTTCTCATCGTATTTTCCAGTAAACCGGCGGCTGTTGAAGTACAGGTACAGGTTGCGCCAATCTTGCTCGACAACCTGCAATGTGATGCAGACGAAGTGTATCAGCTAGTCGTCAACCTCGATGGTGCAAAGCCCGCCAGACCAGACGGACTTCACCTACTAATACTGAAGCCCCTATCGATTATCATCTCACCAACCGTGACAAACATTTACAATAAATCGCTTTTTGAAGGATCTATCCCGAACGACTGGAAATGCTAGATAGTGAGACCGCTTCTCAAGGGTGGTAATCCGAGTAAAATAGAGAACTATAGACCGATCTGTTTGACTTCGATATTATCCAAAGTGCTCGAGAAGGCTGTGAAAAAGTGTCTGCTTTCTTTCTTCGAATCGATGGACCTATTGACGCCAGCGCAACACAGTTTAACGAAAGGGCAGTCTTGCATCACCAACTCGATGTCCACAAACCACCATTGCGTACAAGCTCTCAACGAACGGAAGGATTTTGACGTGGTGTACATCGACTTTAGTAGGGCGTTTGACAGAGTGAACCACGAAGTACTACTTCGTAAACTGAGGACATACGGAATCGGTGGCACTCTGCTTCAGTGGTTACACGAGTTTATTGTGGGACGAAAGTTTAGAGTACAGGTCAATGACCAGCTGACAGACTAGTTCCCATCGACCAGTGGCTTTCCTCAAGGAACTGTACTTGGGCCAGTATTATTTCTTATTCACATCAAGGATCTCCAGCAGCAGCTGCAATCACCATGTGCCCTGTTTGCAGATGGTTTGAAAAGTAGTAGGATCGTTGAGAACCCGAACGACTGCTCTAGCCTCCAGCACGACTTAGATCGATTGTTAACGTGGTCCACTGAAATGCAACCCCCTCTTAACGCAAGCAAGTCGGAGTTCATCAGTATCACCAGACGTCCAGCCACTCGATCATACACCTTGGACGGCCAGTTGCTCCATCCCAACACATCTGTCAGAGACTTAGGAGTTCTCTCACGACATGATTTGAGATCACTAGAAAATACAGAGAAATAGTACCGTCCGGAACTCCGTATGCTCTGGACATTAAGACGCAGTTTCTCCACATTGTCCGAAGAAACCATCCCTCGTCTATTCACCTCGCTCATTAGACCAATCCTTGAATACGGTGCCCCAGCTTACTATCCGATAACCCAGTGGGAAACTGAAAGGCTGGAGAAAATACAGCATATCGCAACTAGAATGATACCGAGTCTACAAAAGCTTCCGTATGATAAACGTCGTGAAAGGCTCGGACTCCACACACTATCCTATCGCCGAGTAAGAATTGACCTTATTATGACCCATCGAGTACTACACTTAAATCACTTCCCCATACTGCGGCCAATATTTCACCTGCGGGAACCCTGTAACACCCGAGGACACCGTTACAAACTCAGGGTCCCCTGCATGAACAAAGTATCACATCAGCTTTGTATGGAACGAAGAACCCTAAAAGTGTGGAATACACAACCAGAAGGACTAATAAAAGCTGATTTTGTGAAGTGTTTTAAAACACATATCGACGATTATTTCGGAAACCTGGGTTTTTTTCAAAAACGGTGCACATACAATGCAAAAAGTACATCCTATATCCGGAAATAATGACACCAATATGAATTCCTAGCCGAACAAGAATAAACGATTAACTGACCAAACACTACCTCTGACGATTCGCAATTGAGTGTTTTTGATTTTTCATAATTCGATAGAGTTGTACAGAAATTTTTCTACTCGCGCTTAAATACAATCGCAGATAAATGGAGTACAGAACTTCATACACCGGCTGTATTCATGGGAACGAGCCGACAAGTGCTGAAATGCTGAAAAAGACAAACGAGCTTTTTCGGCGTGTAGTCCCTGGACAACAAAGACATTTGTGTCGGTTGTGAAAGTTACGCCATTTGCATCAACAAGCACGCATTAAGAGTGTCCGGACAGCCAGCGGAGAGTTTACTGCCAAGTTACAAATGACAAGTTGGACATAAAAGATAAGGGATACATCCGATTAGGCAACAGAAGATTCACTGCGTATAGAAACCAGCGACTTTGTGAGAATGATAAGCTCTCGGTGCGTCTCAGTATAAATAGGAATAGTGGAAGAATTTACATTATCGAGTTACCAGAACACGTGGTAATGGAGCACCTATTAGCAGAAATCGTGTTTTGGTCAACGAGAGGAAACTGCACATGACACAGTTAGTGGAGCGGCAGTAGACGACCGGATATGAGTGTGATTGTGAGAAATAGGAGCAGGCAGAAATCACGATTCAGGTAGTAGAGAGAAGATTTACGCAACAACCTATAAATGACATGAAGAGGCTCATAAGGTACTCAAAATTAGACGGAACCATAAACCTGTGACTGCTTAGACGTGGCAGTAGATGTTTGCAGTGCGGCCTGACCTAGACAACGGCTACGAAGAAAATTCACCTGCTTCGACGTTTTTCCAAACCCATGCTGGACGTCTTGTTTTGTGCGTGATTTGGCAGTTTCAGAGGAGTTCACCCATTGAGCCGTGACCACTTGCGCGATAGTCGGGCCAATCAAAGGAAACAAATTGGTTGAGAAAGTTGCCTTTCACGCAACAAGTAAAATACGTATTCGATCAAACACGGAGGGATAATATTTTTGCGGCGCTCCTCTCCTCATGTGGAAGCCCTTCAGAGAGGTGGCAGCGTAAATTGCCAGAGGACAAAAGTTGGGATGTTGTAACACAGTCAACAGATCGAACAACCTTTCGCGTATTTGGAATGGGTTGACTATGGAACAGTAGTGGCTGTGCGTCGGTACATTGAGTCAGGGTGTAAAGCTGCGATGCGTTTCGCGAAAACTGACGAAACGGATGTATTGCACGGCAGTAAAGCATAGTGAAGAAAACTACAGCTGTCGACTCGAGGTGGAAGAGGAACCCGTTACTTAGACCGCATGAGACAGCTTCACTATGCCCCGCCGTCCTGTTGGTCAGTAAACTGAACGATTAAGAAAAAACATCTCATGGGGAGCAGCGGGGCAGCAACAATCCTTTAGAAAGTTTTGTTCCTCTTAGGTCACTTTCACTTCCCTGTTTTCTGAGTTAATCACCAATGGACAGCGCACAAACACACAAAAACAAAGCTGGCTGATCGAGATAGATGTAGTTTCCGGATAAAAGGAATGTGCAAGGCGTCCAGCTTAGATTCCGGATCAAAACAGTTATGGGGTGTGAAATGCGTAGTTGGGGATGAGGAAAAGGTGAATGGCCGAATAGTGAAACAGGCGACCCGAGCAGAAGTAAGATGCATAACATGCTGCGTGGTAATTCACTGAACATGTGACCAGAACTGGTAGATGAAAACGGGACAGGGATGATATCAGCAGGAGCATCTGCAGCGCAACTGCCGATGAGAAATTGGGTGACGCAACAGATTTCAAGCGTCAGTGACTGGCCTTCCTGTTGAGTACACATCCGCAGAAGAAGAGAACAGATAATTCCTTGTATCGCCACCAACTGTTCGCGCCACACAACCGCAAACAGAACACGAAAAGGAGTTAGGGCCGAGTTGTATGCATGAGAACATTGCTTCCTTATAGGGGGTACAATAGTGAGTGAAGCAAAGCTATTAAAGCGTGTGAGCCAATCAATAACACAGGAGATGACGAATGAGATAGGCGAATAAGCGATAAAAGTAAGAAACAATTACGTGTGTCCGTGAAAATGGTATTGGCTAAAATGGGGCCCTGAGAAAACATCCACTGCGACACAACGTATGCTGGTCAATCAGGGTAACGAAATGATGCATTGAAACAAATGTCTAAAAACAGACGATAGCGAAGCAAAAGCAGGTAAGCAAGAATAATGAATGATGACTCACACAAAAGGCGAGAATAGCATTTCAGATTGAACTTACTCCATCGGGAGAACTGTTGAGGCCTTCAGAAAAGTTTGCACGCATCGCATTGTTAGTAGCATCTGGACTGTCAAGCTTTACTGCCCACTGGTCGCCACCGGTTACCTGGTCAAGAGAATTGGGCTTTCCGTCTTTGTCAAGGTGATCGTGCGAACGGCGGTGATCAGCGGAAGCGGACTGGAAGTAAGCAGAAAATGAGCATAAGTGTGTGAATCATCCGAATCATGTGATTCGTTTGATGACATACACAAAAGGGTTTGTGACTGATAACCATTAGGCTCAGGCATCGAAAAAGAGGTTGTTGTAAAAGAAGAGCAACAGAGTACCCAAGTTCAGAAACCTGAGGAGATACTTCGCTGTTGGTGGTCGGTTAAGTCGCATTCCTCAGTCTATGAGTGAGTGCAGTTCAGGGCTAAAAAGCAAGTAACGAGGCGTGAAGAATGCAGCTGTCACCATTAATGAAAAGGCAGAAATAAGATTAGTCAGGAATTAAAATAGGAAAATGGAAGAAGTTAAAAGAAGCCGTGAAAGGGAACAATAGAAAAGCAGAAGGTTAACAGAGAGGCACTAGGCCTAATACGAGAGCGACATTGTGTTGGCGATACTTCATTTACGTTTGGAAGAGTCAATAATCTCTGTGATCTCCAGCTAGGATGATAGTCTGCATCAAACTGATCAAGTTTCCGAGCAAACTACGCCAAGTTCTTGGGCCAATTCATAGACAGATAATCCAGTGAGGTGTGAAGCTGCCGAACCATCGAAACCACATTAACTATTCGGCCTGATTGTCGGGGGAAATCTCAAGCAAAACGTCGTACTGGACTTTGACAGAGGAACCAGCGTAGCATCCGACAGACCACTGTGTCGCTCCTCGGTGGCCTCACCTAATGCAAGCTATGTTACATAATCCAGGTGGTTAGTCGCGACCAGCCTGTAAGTAAGTCCAGGCTTCAGAGGCAATGTCGCTGATCCACACAAGGTGACGCGGGTTTTGCACTGCAGTATGGCTGGCTTGCCGAACTACCTCGTGGTGGTGCCAGCTGGGTGGTTCGGGTGTACCCCGTTCCAGCAGTGTTCGGCGACAATGTTCCACCTCGGTGAGGCATTGTAGTCCAGCAATTGTGCTGATTTCATGGGGAGTATTGGGCCCCTGTTTGATGATCTACCAAACGAAAGACGCATGAACTGAACATTCAGTCAGCGACTCCCAATGGGCGCGATTCCCTGAATTCGCTCCGCTGCCTTGCGGGTAGGTTATTTAGCCAAAGGCTCGGAGTGGAGTCCCCTAAGTCAACTCCCTACTTCGGCTTGGGCAACCGGGTACTATCACGCCCTCTCGCAAAACCATGGACTGTATTACAACGTGCTCATCAGCTACTGTTTCTGCTACTCACATTCACGCGACTTCATCACACGCCAATTTTTTGTTTGTTAACAATCCTCACCTTCCGTTACCCGATTCATGTGTTCAACAATCTGGCTGCGATTCCGGTTGCGCCGCAGACCAAGTAGTTCAACCTATGGCTCTCCTTCGTCCCCGATCCTCGTTCCGTCTGGCGAGCTTCAACGTTCGGACACTCATGCAGATTGGACAACAAACCGGTCTAGCGCGCACTTTAGATTCCTTTGACATTGATGTCTGCTGTCTTTCAGAAACCCGATTGCAAGATCCCAGCACTGCGCTTACATTGACATCCCATACTGCCCACGAAGCCAGATATCACCTGCGTCTTTCTGGAGATCCAGAAACAGCCTCAGCGGGTTTGGCTGGTGTAGGTATAGCACTAAGTGGCAAGGCCGAGGCGGCACTACTGGACTGGTTCCCTATTAACAGCCGACTATGTTCAGTTCGGCTTCGGGGTTCATGTAGAATCAACAATCGCCGCGAAGAGAGACACAACTTGTCTGTGATATCTGTGTACGCTCCAACTGACTGCAGTGACGACTCGGTCAAGGACGAATTCTACCGGGATCTACAACACCTCTTGACTAATGCCAAAATGTCGGATGTCGTTATCCTTGCCGGGGACTTTAATGTACGGATTGGCCGCCTGTTACCATATGAACGTCACCATGTTGATTACCACGCGCTCGATGAGAACCGCTCTGATAACGGTGTGAAGCTTCTCACACTGTGCGAAGACAACCATCTGTTTCTCTCGAGCACTAACTTCAGGCCTACGAAGAAGCGTTCCGCAACGTGGCGTCCTTCGTCGTCAATACAACCGTGGTCTCAAATTGATCCCATTGCAATTAGCTTCAGATGGCGTGGCAGCGTACTGGACTGCAAGTCCATTTGGTCCACCTTCGTTGACTCAGGTCATGCACTGGTCTGCGTGAAAATCTACATGTGTTTTTGGGGGTCCCGAAACACGAAGCACCACAAAACTGAGGTCAACAAATTAACTGATTCCTCCGTCCAGGCGAGCTATCAGTTGCACTGGCGAACGCACTCAGTTGCAATCCACCGCAAGAAGTGAAGCAACACTGGAGTGTACACAAAAAGCGATAACCATTTCCCGAGAGTATAGCTGAGGCCTAGTTCTACGTCCCTTAAAGCCTTGGATCTCTGCTGGTTCTCTGGAGCTTTTCGAACGTCGCAAAGATATTCCGGCGGGATCAGATGGAAATGAACAGCGGCGTTCTACCAACCGGCTGCTCAAGCAAAGCCTACTCAAAGATCGCGAGGCATGGTGGTCTGAGTATGCTTTAGAGATGAAGACCGCTGCCCTCTCTGGCAACGCTCGCAAGGTTTTCCAACTCATTCGGTTCACTGGCCTCAAGAAGCCTGGTGTCAGTGAGGTCATTTGTGAGGTGGATGACTCTCCGATCACCAACCAACAGAGGCGTATGGACTGCTGGGCAGAGCACTTTCGCTCGCAGTTCGACCGGCCTTCACCGTCCATCAGTACATGCAGTACACCTTGTTGTCCACCCTGACTCGTCCCACCGAATCATCCCAGCGAAGCGGAAGTCTGCTTCGCGGTTCAAGGCTGCAGACTTAGACGGACTTCCCCCGGAGCTGTTCAAGTATGGCGGTGTGGCGATCATTAACCAGCTGACCTCGCTGTTTGCAAAAATCTGGCATGAAAAATGACTTCCTCTTGGGGCGGGTCAGTTATTGTCCCGGTTTTCAAGAAAGGCGCTCGCACTTCATGTGAAAATCATCGTGGGATTAGTCATATTTCGGTTGCCTCTAAGCTATTGGCATTCATTTTGCTCCGTAGACTATCCCCAATATGTCTCCCCCTCCAACCACGATCTCAATATTTGGCCTTATATAATTTTGCATCGTAATTTTTTTTGCTGCATAGCAGCCGGCTGGTAGCTTACCGGAACGATGCCCATCCGTTACCGGTAGCTCAGCTGGCTTGCATCTGTTGCATTTTCTCCTTCTTACTTTATGTATTGCGGCACAGTAGCTGAGGTGTTTCCCACCTCTAGCTAACGTGTATGATGATGAATCACCTTACCGTAAAGAACAAGCTGGTTTCCGTCCTGACCGTGGATGCGTGGATCAAATCTTCACGCCCCGCCAACTCCTTGAACATCGCCACATTTATCACAGGCCCACTATTGTTGCATTCCTGGACACACGTGCCGCTTTTGACTCCGTTGATCGACCTGCTTTATGACGTTGCTTGCTAACGAAGGGGGTGCCAGAGAAATATACCGCCATCTTACGAACACTTTACCTTCATATATCCGGCAGAGTGAGGGTCTATAGTAAGCTTTTCTCGCAATTCGCTGTCAATAGCGGTGTGCGACAGGGCTGCCCTATGTCCCCATTCCTCTTCAACTTCGACATCGAAGGCGTTCTGTCGAATGCTCTAGGTTTCCAACATTTTGGCCTAGAGCTTCTACCGGGTGAGCGTGCAACCGACTTAGATTATGCTGATTACATCGCCTTACTTGGTGACGATCCTCAGGGTATGCCACTCATTCTGGATCATTTGGCAGTTGAAGCATCTCAGTATGGCATGAGCTTTGATCCATCGAAGTGTAAAGTACTGCTCAAGGATTGGCTTACACTCGCTCCCGTGCTCATTCTCAAAGGTGCACAACTTGAACTGGTAGATAGTTTCGTCTACCTTGGGAGCTGTATTTCTGCTGACGGCGCTATCAGCAAAGAAGATTCTCTTCGCATCGCTAAAGCTCGATCACCATTTGTCAATCTGAGGCACTTGTGACGTCGTCGCGACATCTCATTCTCGCTAAACTGCCCCGTTTACAACGCATCTATTTGTTCGGCGTTGTTGTATGGGAGCGAGTCCCGGCCGATTCGCGTGGAAGACAGGCGTCGTCTTTCTGCCTTCGATAACGGTTGCTTAAGGAAGATTGCTCGTGTTTGGTAGTAATATCGAGTTCACAGTAATGACGTGCGACGTCGCATTTTGGGGAATGCGAGTATTCCCTTCAACAAACTGGTTTTGCTACGCCAGTTGAGATGGCTCGGTCACATCCTACCCATGGAAACTGAGAGTCTGCCGCGTCGCGCTCTATTCGCTCGTCAAGGACCTGGTTGGAGGCGACCGCGTGGTGGTCAGCCTTCCATTTGGCGGCAGCACATGAAATCGCTGACGTCGTGTCTAGCCGCTGTTCGATCCGTACGTCTTCCAGGATGGGGACCCAAAGATGAGGAGTGCCAATGGCTTGGCACTCTTGAAGACATGGCCCGCAACCGGAATCAGTGGAAGAATTGCGTACAGAATTGTACTGATTCACATGTTTAATACTTCACACATTGAAAATGACAAAAAGAAATATCGGTGTGCTAAAAACAAACTAAAACTGGTTTGTTCTACTTTTTGTCAAAATGTTCCTTTCTTCCTGAAGCATAGTAGTTGACGGGTGTTGCGCACTTTCAACTACTATGCCACGATGATTATGACGCGGTGACTTCCCCTTATCCGCTAATATTCATAGGTTTGTTGGCTCTATGTCTAGTTGCTAGACTGTTGCGATTACATACATACATACTGCAGTACGGTACGCTATGATCCTTTCTGACAAGTCAAACACAATTAGCTTGAAATATTGAAAGGCTACATGAACAGTGCTGATAGGTGACAAACTCACCTGCGCTATGGTCATGTCGGCAGAGATGATGTAACTATCATGATAAGGCGGACCCGACCAATCCCTTCTTATAGCTACGTGCTGATAGCGAAAAGAGC